AGCGTGGTTATAGAGGTGAGTTTTTTAGTGTCTCTTGAAGGAGGCGATCGAGGTGATGCTGCGAATGTGCAGAGGGATATCGTTCCAGACTTTTGGAGCTGCTACCGAGAAGCGGCGCATAGACACGATGACCATCCTGGATCTTGGTATCAAGAGGAGGTCGTGAGTCGCGCTGCGCAGGCATCTGCCGTGTGCTGCGCTGCAAGTCGTCAGTAATGAAGAAAGGTACGGCGGGCAGGCAGATGTGAAGGCATTGTGGCAGAGGCAGGCGATCTTGTATATGACCCTGCTGGCGATGGGTAGCCAGTTGAGGGCCCCATCTCTGAGGTGTCCAATTTAGCACATAGTCCAGCGGCCTCAATTCGCGTATCTTTTTTCTCATTATCACCATTGCACAGACCACCGAAGGCCTCTCTAATGTGGGTGTCATTTCTCCACGGTGTCCTTGGTTGACTCTGCCCGAGCGCTCCACCGAGTACTGGACAGCGATTTTAATGCCAGTCTGATATTTGTCTTCCCAAAGACTTTCCCCCATTTGTGTGTGGATGAAGAGCAACATGTGTACAGTGACTGCAACATTTAAAAAAACTCGTCAGCCTCTGGGCTACTGCCGTCTAAGGTGTTAACGCCAACTAAGTTAAGTGAATGCGCTGTGCAAGGCACATATGCTATCACATACACACACACACGCGCGTACTGCGCGTGTGTGTGTGTGTGTATGTTAGCGAACACATATGAAGGCCGGCAAGGCACACGACGGGTGGGTGGCCAGCACCACGCCCGACCGCCTTTGTCTCCCCAATGGCTATGTTTACGCATCGCATCAGGTACTCATTTGAGTGCCGGTTTAGATAATCGTAACTGGTGTTGGCCGTGAGCGAGAATCGAACCCGGATCACCGGGTTCTTAGCGACGTGGGCTAACCGCTGTGCCACCGCTCCACGTTATATACAAATATTCAGCTCTACTGCATCAACAGACTATTGGGGCAAGTGCTGTTAGCGAGCACCTTTGAAGGCCGGCATGGCACACGAGGTGGTGGGTAGCCAACACCACGCCCGGCCGCCTTTGTCTTCCTAGTGGCGATGCTCACACATCACACGAGATACTCATCTGAGGCTGCGTCAACCTAGGGGAGGCCCAGGACCGGTTCAAATAATCGTCACCGGTGTTGGCCGTGAGCGGGAATCGAACTCGGTACACCAGGTTAGCGCACTGCAGCGCGCTAACCGCTACACTACCACTCCCCACGACATAAACACACCTACACACACACATACACAGATACACACACACCTAGACACATACATACGCAGTGTTATTCTACTACACACGATTTCAATCATTTGCAGGAAATGTCCGAGTCGCCAGATCCTCTCGTGAAGTGAAGCGAGACCCAGAATTTGCGGAACCGAAAGCTGCATGGGGGATCTTAGTCTTTGTGTGAATGTGCGTACATACATACAGAGACAAATAACCCCCGTATAGCCTTAACAAACGTTTGGGGCAAGTCATGTTAGCGAGCACCTATGAAGGCCAGAACGGCACACAAGGTGGCCAGCACCAAGCCCGGCCACCTTTATTTCCCTACATACGTACACACACCTACAACAGCCGCCCTAAGCCACTAAGTAGCGATGACGTGCCACATCGCTTGTGCCAGGCTCGGTGCACTTTGAACTTTGAGGCCGTCACGTGAAGTGTCGACGAAGGATCGCTGGCAGGAGCTGGCAGGAAGTCACGGGACGGACCCATATATAAATATATAATTACACACACAGACACACACATACATACATACAGACACACACTCATGTGTGTGTATACACAGCGTATATATACCAGGGCTAAAGTCACAGCGTCGCACATCGCCCAGGCGTGGAGCATGCAAGCAAGCGCTGGTAATCTGCTGAATACCCATCATCATCATCAGCTGCAACAGAAGCAGCAGCATCATCAGCATAATCATCAGCTGCAACAGAAGCAGCAGCATCATCAGCATCATCATCAGCAGCAGCATCATTAGCAGCATCAGGGCAATCGTAGAAGCATCATCAGCAGCAGAATAATAACCAAAGACAAAGATCCCCCGCATAGCCTTACTCGACTGTTGGGGCAAGTGTGTTTAGCGAGCACCTATGACGGCTGGGCACGGTACGCATGGGGGTGGGTGGCCCTGAGCCCGCCCAATCGCCTTTGTCTCCCCAGTGGCGGTGCTTTTACACACCGCATCAGCTACACATTCGTGGCTGAGTCTACTTAGGGGAGGCCCAGGACAGGTTCAGATAATTGGGAATCGAAGTCGGGTCACCCGTTTCGTCGCGCTAATCACTACAACAACCATAACCCCAACACAAATGGATTGTGTCTTATCATCAGCAGCAGCATCAGCAGCAAGCACTCACCATCACCACCATAATCATTAATAGCAACGTAATGATTGGTAACGCTATCATCAGCAACGCCATTATTACCAACACCATCATCAGCAGCGTGAACACAACACACACTCATGTGCATCATCATCACCAGCAGCAGCAGCGCTACCATCTTCATCATGTTAGTACTTCAGTGGGCTTAGCCTGGTAGGAGGGAGTTTTTTTTTATCTTTTCGGTGATTTATTGATCTTTCTTGTCCTTTGCACTCTTATCGTGTTTTTTTGTATTGTTTGTTGTTACGTTCTTACCCGCCCCGACTGAACATCTGTGAAGGGGAGCGTTATAGCTCATCAGATTCCTCCAGTATAAATACATATTCCGAATCATGTTATGTTTAAACGCTTTATTAGTATGTCTATTTATCGTCATCATCACGATCACCGTCATCAACACTGCCTCTTCACTAAACTAAAACTATTTATATTTTACCAGCTAAGGCCCGTGGAGTTATTTAGATATTTTTTTTTCAGAAGCGACGTGGCCACAAATGATATCACGTGGAGATGTATAGCAGCAGCCAAATACTCTAAACGCGCGTTGTTGATTCTAAATGTGGAAGGAAAAACTAGAGGACCCGGAGAAAAACGTATGTTAACTCCCTCGCCTGGTATGCAGGAGGTCGTGGGTTCGACCCCGACCCTGACGCCTGCTGTATATTTGGAGTTTTGATATCTCTCTCTCTCTCGTGGTAGTGTGTATTTTTCTCCGGTTTTCCCTCCACATTTGGAAACATTCGTTTAGGCTGCTATACATTTTCCACGTGACAAGCCACTTCGTTGACCGATCATTTGTGGACCGGTCGCTGCTGAAAACGGTTTAGCTCAGTGAGCCTAACCTCGTAAAATAAAAAACAATTATTTAGTTTAAGTTTAAATATACAGCAGCAGGCGTCAGACTCGGGATCGAAGCCACGACCTCCTGTGTACCAGGCGAGGTAGTTAACATCTCGCCACCGCATGTGGGAGGAGACCGGTAGGGAACAGAGCGTTGCCCCACTGCACGTGCGCGTGTTTTCTCCACGTGCAACCGGTTTCAACACACGTGGCTAAAAGACGACTCATTCAATTGGCTGAAAACGTCGTAATTTTTCAGAGGACCGCTGCGATATTAACACGAGTCCCGCTGTTCCACACAGATCGCCTGCCACACGGTCACCTGTACGGGAAGGATTGAAGTATGGGTCAGGAAGGTGAGTTGCCGGTTGGCTGCTGTAAGCCACGTTCTACCCACTGCTGGATGAGCAGCTCCCCAAGAATCTTATTATTTATTTTGCCGACCGCCCTCACTCCCCTCCTGGTCTAGCTTCTGTTCTCTAACCCGCGAGCTCCTCTTCCCGTATCTCAGTGGAATCTCTAAAGCAGTGTTCTTCACTCATATTCAGGGGCGGGGTGGTGCCACTTTCGCCCATAAGACATCGTCAGGGGCGCCCAGTGCCGGATTAAGCTAAAACATTTTTTTAACACACAAATGTTTTACTTGCATAGTAAAGTAATTGTATTTTTTTCCTTTTTGATACAGTCAGATCATGCGACGGATCGCTAAACTTAAACACACAGTCGTTCATAAAAGTTGAAGGCGGTATAGGCCTCTAGCAATAGAGGAAGTGCAGCATCACTGAACCGGAATTGATAGCTTGAAAGCGTTTAGCGCGGGGCCCTTGTAAGTGCGGGGCCCGTAGCTTCTACATATGTAGCGACTTTTGCTACGAGGATCATCCGGCACTGGGGACGCTCCACCATTTGAAACCATTGTGACAGCAGCGCACGACGACGATGATGATCGGGGGGTCTCCGCTGGTTGTGTGTTGTCGGTGGGAGCTGCGAGTCTCACTAAAGCCCCGCACGTTTCAACCAGTGGCCCTTCAGGGCCTTGCGATGAACACCACGCTGCTCTACATGCTCCTTTGCACACTTTTTCCGCTTGGAGTTGTTCCATTCTCTCTGAACATTCATCCAGCAGTCGACAACAGATCACGGCTGCTGCTGCTGATAATAATAACAACGATGGTAATTGTTATGTAACGATGATGGTACCTATTATGTAATCATGGATGCACGTGGTCACACCACACACGCACGGACTGCAAGGCGATCGACTAACGAGCACCTTCCACCAGCAGGGGCTTGGGCAGGCCATTGCAGAGCTGTGCATTTACCTCTTTCTGTATCTCAGTGTGTGTGTTGAACTTCTTTCGCACCGTACGTAACCAACCGTGCTAATCGGAGGCGCGGGACAAAGATCCCCCGGTTAGCCTTCACGTTCTGTTGGGGCAAGTGCCGATTAGCGAGCGGCACCTAAAACGAAGGCCGGAACCGCACGCGAGGGGATGGGGGTGAGGCCAGCCCCACGCCCCAGTGCTGATGCGAAGCGCACACCGCACCAGGTACTCGTTCGAGCCTGAGTCGACCTAGGCGAGGCCCAGGACCGGTTCAGATCAATCGTCACTGGGTGTTGGCCGTGAGCGGGTATCGAACAGTGCTAACCGCTGCGCCACCGCTCCCCCTCCGCTCCGCTCCTCCCACCGGGACACGCAAGCGGATGTGTGTGTGTGAGAGATGTGTGTGTGTGTGAGATGTGTCTGTGTGAGATGTGTGTGTGAGAGAGAGAGATCGTGAGTGCGTGCGGGGGGGCTGTGCGGGGGGGGGGGCTGAGCGAGGCCCAGGGCGGTGCAGGATGGGGAGCAATCTTCGGGCCTCAAGAGGTGCTCGCTAACACGGCCACCAAGGCTGCGTGATCGCGACGGAGCTGGGGGTTGGGTTGCCTACGGATGGTGCCATGTCCCCAGTGCGGTGTGTGTGTGGTGTGTGTGTGGTCTGTGTGTGGTGGTGTGTGTGTTTGGTGTGGTGTGTGTCTGTGTGCTGTGTGTGTGGTGTGTGTGTGTGGTGTGTGTGTGTGTGGTGTGTGTCTGGTGTGTTTGGCGTGACTGTGTGTGTGGTGTCTGTGTGTGTGGTGTATTGTGTGTGTGTGCGGTGTGATGTGTGTGTGTGGTGTGTGTGGTGTGTGTGTGGTGTGTGTGTGTGGTGGTGGTGTGTGTGTGGTGGTGTGGTGTGTGTGGTGGTGTGTGTGGTGGTGTGGTGTGTGTGGTGGTGGTGTGTGTGGTGTGTGTGGTGTGGTGTGTGTGTTGTGTGTGTGTGGTGTGTTGTGTATGTGGTGTGTGTTTACTGTATATATGTGTGTGGGGAGCGGTGGTGTAGCGGTTAGCGCTGCGCTCCGAACCTGGCAACCCGAGTTCGATTCCGGCTCACGGCCACCAACACCCAGTGACGATGATCTGAACCGGTCCTGGGCCTCCCCTAGGTCGACTCAGCCTCAAACGAGTACCTGGTGCGATGTGTAAACATCGCCGCTAGGGAGACAAAGGCGGCCGGACGTGGTGCTGGCCACCCACCCCCTCGTGTGCCGTGCCGGCCTTTATAGGTGCTCGCTAACAGCACTTGCCCCTACAGTCTGTTAAGGCTACACCGGTTGATCTTTGTCTTTGTGTGTGCGCAAGTCTGCCAAAGTGTGTGAACTAGTATGTGTTCTGTATGTTTGTATGTATGAGGTCGCTTCGGCATTAATAGGTGCTCACTAACATCCGTGACTGTTGGCGAAACATGTTAAGGCTGGGCATGCGATGTTTCTTTTTGTAGGCGCGTGTAAGGGGAGCGGTGGCGCAGCGGTTAGCCCACTGCAAATCCGGCCGAATTCAATTAATAATAATAATCGACCACGGCTACCGCCACCGTGTATGCACGTATGGCGAACTTCTTTCGCACCGTACGTAGCACAACCGTGCCCGCACGCCGCGTGCGCCGGATGATTGCTGAACGAAACCCCACGTGGGACACCAACTCCCCGTTGGTGGAGGCCCATGCGGCGGCAGTGGCGCGGGCCGAGCAGCCGAAGGTCCCGCGCCCATGTAGACCCCGTCGCGCAGTGAACTCCTCTACCCCCCCCCCTAACCTCCCCGCCCTTCGTCGCCTCGCAGAGTCGGCCCCCGTCAAGCACGCGGACTGGATGAGCTCCCTGCCGGAGCGCCTCCTCGACGTCAAGCTGCGGCACCTGGCCATCCCAGGTGTCCATTCCGATCGGATCGAACTCGCGACTCGCTTTCGTCGCGAGGGCGACGCCCGCGCTTTGTGACGTGGAGACACGCGACGTGGTTGGTTTGGGTGGACTATCGACCGTGACGGCAAACCACCGTGGTCTAAAATCCTTCAACGCAGGAGGAGCAACCAGCATAGCTACACAAACTCTCTGTTTCCTGAAGCCCTCTCGTCGTGGCTAACAGCAGACATTCGACCCCATTGCCTCCCCGCATCTATTTTATACACCCCATCTCCGCCATTACATTCACGCGCTGTAGCATTCTTAATTCTCTTTAAAGCGTCTTGGTCAAGGCGTTATATGAATTGCGTTGAGATAAGGCCTAGACATTGACGGCATCTGGGTTCTGAAATCATTTCTGCTGCCATCATCATCATCGTCACCACCACACGCATGAACAATATTACTGAAAACAGAATAGGCTTGAACCCCCTTCTGACAATAGTACAGCAGGTGTTAAGATGGTCACAACAGCGAATAGACACACTTATTGCAAGGCATCAAATCAAGCATTAACCACACGCGCTTGTCGTAAAACATGCAAACATCCTTTCATAAATAATGTACGGATGTTCGGCCTACGCATGTCTTTGTCTCACTACCAGTGTTAGACCGGAGAACAACACCAGAAGGCGAACAGCACAATGGCTATTCAAGTATCAAAGCATCATGAGCTTGGGTCGAGCAGTTATATCGATGGGACCCTTTTGCAATAGGTGCCTATTTGGTTGGTATTTGAACAGCGTAACGCCTCCTTTGTATTATTGCCACAATTTGTGAATCCTTTTCCTGTTTTTTCATAATTTTGACACTGTAGAGATAACCGTAGAGTCCATTTGGTATCCGTGCCATCGGCCTCATGGCGCACGGCGATCATCGCCAAGGTAGGCGCTGCTGCTGCTGCTGCCGTGTCACAGGCACAGTCTGTGGTCCGTTTCGCAGTCGGGGGCAACGTTTGCTTCGTGGCTTTACCCCAATTCAGCGATTCGCCGGTTGTAAACGCAGTCAAATTTGACAACATTTTGGGACCGTGACGCCAGCGGCACACAGCGGCCTGAAGTATACACGTACAAATCACGTACGTGTATGTTTGCCTGCCGATTTGTGCAGGCTTGGGGCAAAGCACCAAAACAACAACAGCAATAGCCCCAAACTATACCAAGACGACACACAGAGTCCTTCAAACCCGAACTGTCGATACAAAATTAGCAAATATGGCTGTATCCAGCACCATTCTTCTGCATCGGGATACTTTTTTTGATGGAGGATTTATGACGTTAAGGGCGGAAGCAAGGGTTGTTCCAAATGTTGGTGCTGCAGCGGCAAAGGCTTTATCACCCATTCCAATCATCGTTCTTGGGATAGTCAAAAGGAAATCAGATGGACGCCTTAGGTTTTTTGAGTTTGACAATGGGGATGAAGAATTTGCTAAGTAAGTATACAGCCTGTTCTCCTATAACGCGTGTTTTCATAATGCGAATTGGATATAACGCGATGAATGTATTAGTCAACAATTTTTTGCTACAACGCTGATGTCAATTGGATATAACGCTATGGAGTGAACGGAACTACATCACGCGAGTAGGAATAAGCAGTCGTACGGCCGCCTCGGTGTAGCATCATCGCACGAGGCGGGACACTGCTGAATGCTGCTTCTAGATGCTACCCATGCGCCTCAGTCTTTGTTCGGCTTGAGTTACGCAGGGGACTTGCATTACCCCTTTATGATTTATTATGACCCGAATTTTTCCATGATGCGGCGTTCTTCAGGAACGCAACTACCGCCACGTTACAGGAGAACAGACTGTACAGTGCAGATTTTCCAATAAGGATTTGTATGAATGAACGGGGCCCAATGTAGATGACCGTTGTTGGATCTCTCTCGCTCGCCCGCCAACCCCGCAAGGCTCGCACAATTCCTTCTCATTCGGCATCACGCACGAGTCCCCGGTGGGCCTCGACCTCTCCGGGGAGATCCGCGACCTCCTGGGTACCGCCGCGTCCCTCCTGGGGTCCGCGGGCGAAGCGGTCCCTCGCTACGCCGTGCAGAGCTGGGCCGTCACGCAGGCCCTCACTTTCCGTGAGCAGCTGGAGGCCGGCGTGCGCTACCTCGACCTGCGCCTGGCGGCCCACGATTGCGGTGACGATAGCGACGAGGAAAAGGAGGAGGATGACGACGATGGGAACGACGATGACAGCGGCGGCGGGAGTGGAGTAGGAGGAGGCGGAGGTGGAGGTGGGAACGGAGGCGGCGATGGTGGCAGCAGTGGCGACAGTGAAGGCAGCAATAAGCCTGGAGATGGAGGGGACGCTGGCGCAGGAGGTGGTGGAGGTGGAGGCGGCGGTGGAGATGGGGATGACAGTGAAGCCGGTGCTGGAGGCAGCAGTGGCAGAACGGCCAGAGACAGTGAAGGCCGAGGTGGTGGTGGAGTGGGAGGTAGCGGCGGCGTTGGTGGCGATGGCGGCGGCGGCGGAGGCGGCGGCGACGGCGACGGCGGAGGCGCAGCAGCAGCAGGAGGCGACGGCCGCGGTGTCGGCGTGCACTTCACCCATGGCCTCCTGGCGGGCCCCGTGTGGCGAGGCCTGCGTGAGGTGGGCGCCTTCGCGAGGGCCCACCCGCGCGAGGTGCTGCTGCTCGAGTTCAAGCACCACTACGGCCTGGGCGAGCGTCACCACCGCCTGGTGCTTGCCGCTCTCCGACGACACCTGGGCCTCCACAGGATCTGCCCTCGTTCGGAGGCCGCGGACGCCTCCCTGCGCACCCTTTGGGAGCGCGGGCGACAGGTGCGAGGGGCGGGGGGTGGGGGCCGTTCGGCCTGGCTTCCTCCCCGGGAAGGCTCACGTCCACTTTGGGAGACATCGGTGGCCAGGCGCAGTGGTGTTGGCCACACCATCCCACTCACCCCTCGTGTGTCGTTTCCGACTTCACAGTGGGTACTGCTGCTTGGTAACCAGCAAATGCACTGTTAAGGCTTTGTTTGTCAATAGGTATTCCTGAACAGAACCATGTCCCGATGGTTTACGGATTTTTTTAACTAAAACCATTTTAAACTAAACTACTTTCTTTTTATTTTATCAGGTAAGGCCCCACTGAGTTATGTAGTTCTTTTTTCAGAAGCGACTTTTCCACAAATGACCTCAACTTTGTGGCTTATCACGTGGAAATTTATGGCAGCCCAAATATTCTAAACACGTGACATCGATTCTAAATGTGGAGGGAGGAAAAAGCGGGGGGACCCGGAGAATAATCCACGCGACCACCGGGAGCGTGGACATGCAAACTCCAAATATACAGGTGTAAAGAAGCTCCTTGGAGACATTCATATTTGTAAAAGTAGAGCTTTATTTCTAACTGAGCGTATTTACAGTGCCGAGTATAACAACCGCCACACTAGTGATTACTTCGACTATCTTCAGCCCCGATGGTTTCCACCAAGTTGATCTCGAGCAGTCGGCCCCGATGGTTTCCACCAAGTTGATCTCAAATAGTCAGGTGTCAGGGTCGAGATCAAACCCACGACCTCCTGCATACCAGGCGAGGGAGATAACATCTCACCACCGTGGTGGGCAAATCCCGCCACTCTTGACGCCTTCAAACTAAACCGGGAATGTTACCGCTGACACAGTGACGTCAAAGCCCAGGGGCCCCCCCAAAACGCGGGGCCCTGGCCAGTTGCCCCGACTCGGCCCACCGGGGGTCTTGTTCACTCGGTGAGGTTCACGTTTGTGAGTGTCGCGCGTATTTCCTTTTAGCCTGCAGGTTAGAGCTCGAGATTATCGGGGTGAGTCTCGTTTGCGTGATTGAGTGGGCGAGTTGGTGAGCGGGTGGATTGAGTGAGTGAATGAATGGGTGACTGAGCAGCTGAGTCAGTAGGTGAGTGGCTGAATGAGTAGGTAAGTGGGTGAGTGAATTGATAGAAGAGTGAGTAGGCGATATGAGTGGGTGAGTGAATGGGTGAATGAGTGAATGAGTGGGTGGGCACGAGTAAGCATGGAGAGATGGAAGGTGAGTGAACAATTGAGTGGAGTTGGGTTTTTTTCTACTTTAACTTTTTATTTCACAAGGTAACGCCCACTGAACTATGGAGCTCTTTTTCAGAAGCTACCCGGCTATCACAAATGATAGCTCAACGAAGTGGCTTATCAAGTCGAAATTCGTAGCAGCCAAATACGTTATAAACGCATGTTTCTAAATGTGGAGGGAAGGAGGGAAACCCCGGAGGACCCAGAGAAAAATCCACGCAGCCACGGGGAAAGCGACAGACACGCAGACTCCAAATATACAGCAGGAGTCAGGGTCGGGATCGAACCCACGACCTCCTGTATACCAGGCGAGGTAGTCAACATCTCGTCACCGTGACACCCCTGAACGAGTGGGCGATATTACGAGTGAGTGAGTCTGTTAACCCTCTACGCTGCGGGGGGGGGGGGGGGGGGGGATCTTTGTCTCAACAAACAAACGCAACGTTGCAGGTCATCGTATTCTACGATGGGAGGGCCCTGGACGAGGAGGACCTCTGCCCCCTGACGATGATCCGATCGCCGTGGCCCAACACGGACGACGTAGAGCGTGCGGTCGCCTTCCTGGATGAGGTGGCGGCGCGGGGCCCTGCGAGCGACGCGGCCTACCGCGTGGCTCAGCTCGTGCTCACGCCCAGCACGTCACGCCCGGGCCTGCAGCTGCTCTACGGCAGCCTCAGGGCAAGCCTCGTGCAGCCGTGCGTGACGTCACAGGCGTTGACATCGCACACGCAGAATCGCACCACACCACAGGGTCTCGCCACACCACAGGGTCTCACCACACCACAGGGTCTCACCACACCACAGGGTCTCACCACACCACAGGGTCACGCCACACCACAGGGTACGGCCACACCACAGGGTCTCGCCACACCACAGGGTCTCGCCACACCACAGGGTCTCGCCACACCACAGGGTCTCGCCACACCACAGGGTCTCGCCACACCACAGGGTCCCGCCACACCACAGGGTCTCGCCACACCACAGGGTCTCACCACAGGGTCTCACCACACCACAGGGTCTCACCACACCACAGGGTCTCACCACACCACAGGGTCACACCACACCACAGGGTCTCGCCACACCACAGGGTCTCGCCACACCACAGGGTCTCGCCACACCACAGGTTCTCGCCACACCACAGGGTCTCGCCACACCACAGGGTCTCGCCACACCACAGGGTCTCACCACACCACAGGGTCACACCACCCACAGGGTCTCACCACACCACAGGGTCACACCACACCACAGGGTCTCGCCACACCACAGGGTCTCGCCACACCACAGGGTCTCGCCACACCACAGGGTCTCGCCACACCACAGGGTCTCGCCACACCACAGGGTCTCGCCACACCACAGGGTCTCGCCACACCACAGGGTCTCGCCACACCACAGGGTCACGCCACACCACAGGGTCTCGCCACACCACAGGGTCTCGCCACACCACAGGGACTCGCCACACCACAGGGACTCGCCACACCACAGGGTCACGCCACACCACAGGGTCACACCACCCACAGGGTCTCGCCACACCACAGGGTCTCGCCACACCACAGGGTCTCGCCACACCACAGGGTCTCGTCACACCACAGGGTCACGCCACACCACATGGTCACGCCACACCACAGGGTCTCGCCACACCACAGGGACTCGCCACACCACAGGGTCTCGTCACACCACAGGGTCACACCACACCACAGGGTCACACCACACCACAGGGTCACGCCACACTACAGGGCCTCGCCACACCACAGGGTCTCGCCACACCACAGGGTCACACCACACCACAGAGCCACAGCAAGTGGCACGCCCCCCCCCCCCCCCCCCCCCCGAGGTTCAGTGACATCATCGTACCATGCGAGACGACCGCTCGGACTCACATCGTCACCCATCGCGTTGCTCGATGGCACATCAAGCCATGCTGCCTCACCGCACCTCGTCACTCCACATTACCACCCCGACCTGTCTCTACATCCGTGTGTCTGTCCAAATGTGTTACCGTCTACCTGCATGTTTATTGGCAGCTACGTCTATCTGTGTGTCCATCTGTCTGGCCGTTTCTCCATCCATCCGTCCGTCCGCGTGTTTTATGTCCATCTGTGTCCGTTCGTCCGTGTGATTGTTCACCTATCTGACACTACATCCATTCCTCCATCCATCCATCTGATTGCTCACCTACTTGTCGATACATCCATTCCTCCGTCCGTCCAGCTCTCAACATAACCCAACCAATAATAGTTACTTGCATATTCTCATTGTAATTTGTATGACTACGTCAACCCCCCCCCCCCCCCGTCTTTGCACCTGATATGATCACAATGATCGCATCACCTTTACTCCTCGAAGCAGGAAGACTTCTTCGCCTGATGAAACTGGTTGTAATCACCAGCGAAACGTCGGACTCGAATTGTAATTGTTGTGGGTTTACTCTCCAATACACGGGTGTGCTGATGTAACGAATTGCCATGTTTTATTTACTTGATAAACTTTACTAATTGGCTGTGTCGGATGGTGACGGGTTTAACGACGCATTTTATAGTTACGCGATTTAACCCCCCCCCCCCCCCCCGAAAAGTACATGTGCCTGTTTTTCTCTCCATCCATCCATGTTTTATGTCCATCTGTGTGTGTGTCCTTCCATCCATCCGTCTGTGTATATATCCATTCCTGTATATATACATTCCTGTTTCTATCCATTCCTCCGTCTGTTTGTCGTCTATCCGTCCACCTCCCCGTCTGTCTGTCCGTCGTCTCTCGGCCCGTGCGTCCATCTCTCCGGTTATCCGTCGATCCGACTCACCGCGTGTCCGTCCGTCGGTCCGTCCGTCCGTGGACGCAGGAACATGCCCACCCTGGTGGCGTGGCTCAAGTCGCAGCGCGCGGGCCCCCAGGGCGTGAACATCGTCATCGCCGACTTCGTGGAGCTCAGCGACTTCATCCCCAGCGTCATCGCGCTCAACGACGCCCTCTGAACCCACCACCACCCCGACCCCCCCACACTTAAAGCCGCGAACGCCGCCAGTCATCGCCGTGCTACCATCGACGTCAACCCTCAACCGCATCGGCTGCACACACCGTGGCAGCGGATGCAGATGATACCCGATGCACGAATGGAAAACGTGAAACTCTCCAGTCGGTGAGCGACTGCGGTCGGCCAGAACGGACCCCCGTACGACGACGTGTCACGGCGCGATGGCTCCGATCCGCAAATACGGAGTAGGGAGACATCGTCGCGACGATGATACACTCCGCTGTGAACTTTGTTGTTGCTCTGCATCTACATCAGCAGCTGTACGAAAGAAGAAGAACGTTTATCTATGCGTCCAGTTTGCTGGCATTGCTGGCTTCTGGCTGGGATCCTTTCCACCACCACCACCGAAGCGAGTTGGGTGACTGGCTACACGGGTTTTTCTGTGCAAAAAATAAGCGTTGAATTGGAATGGCGGAAGAATGGTGTCGGGTTTAACGACGTGTATATTTACACGATGTAACCCAAAAAAAATATAAACCTGTGTCGTGGATGATATTGGTCGCGAAAGCTTCCGTGTTAAATGGTGGAATAAGTTTTGAAGATGTATAATAATAATATAATAGATAGTCACACAAGAGATTGCAGTAACGACACGAGAAGACTGTCACGGTTCAGTTCACATTGCTATAACTTTTCAATGTGTCTGTTCATGTAATTCTTTAACCAGAATATTCGTACAATTTTTGGCAATATATCTATTTTTTTTAAATTTCTCAATGCATTATCTTGCCATTTTTCCTGCAGAATACGTTCCGTACTCCCGAGTACAGCAGGGGATTGTGAGAAGCGTTACCAAGATAACAACCGCCACTGTCATGGTATCATCTCCCACAAATAAAGACCCCCCCCTTGAAACCTCAACAGACTTGGGGCAAGTGATGTTTGCGAGCAGTACCTATGAAGGCCGGCACGGCACTCGAGGGGGTGGGTGGCTAGCACCACGCCCGGCCGACTTTGTCTCCCCAGCGGCAATGTTTATACACACCGCAACCAGGCACTCGTTTGAGGCCGAGTCGACCTGGGGGAGACCCGGGACCGGTTTAGATAATTATCACTGGCATTGTCCGTGCGCGCTAACCACCCACACCTCCCCCAACTCTCACCTCCACCTCCCTCTCCTCCCTGCAGTCGATTCACGCGAACATCCGAGTCCCTGGCAAGGCGGCCACTGCTGGGGATAACAGCTGATGCCCCCTTCCCCCTGCTACCCATAGCCCCCTGTAGCCCCCCCCCCTTCAACCCCGCCCCCCCCCCATGTGATGGCCATTACCGGGGGGTGGGGGCCGGGGGGTGGGTCAGTAACCTTACGGTTCCAGAGCCGCAATGGGGCGGCTCCGAAGGGGTGGGGGGGGGACTGCTTCGTGACGTTCTATTTATGTAAGGGGCCGTCCATAAATGACGTCACGCGATTTTGGACGATTTTTGACCCCTTCCCCCCCCCTTCGTCACACGGCGTCACAAATGGTCAGAACCCCCCTCAAATATGACGTCACAAAGCTCTGCCCCCCCCCCCAAAATAAAATTAAACATGCTTCAAATCGCTTAAAACGATTGTCATTGTAGTGCGTATTTAATGTGGCGCTGCACTCTGGTGTTGTAGAAGAAAACATTTATTAGAAAGTTAATTTAGTTAAGTAGAACGTGTTGTCTATATTTATTTAAAGTTGCGTATTTTGACGTGACATCACATTTCTCAAACTCCCCCTCCCTCGTTACACATCATCACAAATGTCTGACCCCCCCCCCCCCAGGTGGGTTACGTCATTTATGGACGGCCCCTAAGGACTACCACCACCAGTCCCAGTATCCACCACACCGCAATTGCTGCGGCTCTTTAAATATTGAGGGAGTTGTTTATACTGGTAGGAACCTCCTGGTTCCACCAGCCCACAGGGGATTGTTGTGTCCGTCCGTCTTGCATCCAAAAATGGGAGGGGTGTGGCTGGGTGGAGAGGGGAGGGTGGGGAGTGGTTTGGGTGGGGAAGGAGGGGCTGGGTGGGGAGGGGAGGGTGGGGAGGGGCTGGGCGGGGAGGGTGGGGAGGGGCTGGGTGGGGGGGGGCTGGGTGGGGAGGGGCTGGTCACCCCATGGTGCCCTTATAAAACTCAACGTTTAACCTACTCACGCCGGCTTGTGCCCGCCCTCAGTTTTGCATATTTGCGGAATACACCATGCCGCCGTTGACCCTGGCCATTGACCGAGCAACCCAACGTTCCTACCAGCTCCCTCCGCAGGACAATGTGTTTTATTTAGGCGCGTTTAACCGAATTCGAATGTGAAGGAACAACGTCTCCTCCTTGCTACTTTGGTTGTTGACTCCCACCCCCCGGTTCTGCGAGTCCATGACGATTCACACACCCAGCGCTGGCCGTCTTGCTGGGAGAAGGACGCCGCGTGTAATTTGAGGCTGCAATTGAGGTTTCATTGACCCTCCGCTCTCAATGCAACACGTTCCGGGGAAGGAGGCGGTGACAGCAGCGTCTCTCTCTCGAGAGAGATGCCGCCCACTACAACGGCTGCCCATGTCTAACATCTCGTTACGCAGATCTCCCCCCCCCCCCCACTCGCTTGGTACGTGGCTAGTTTGGGTAGTAGATGCGTTCTCAAAATAAATAAACGAAAACACGAAGCTGCCGCTGTTGCCTTGTTGTCTTTCATTGGCTGTACTGTAGTGGTGTTGGTGTTTACTGGTAGGAACCTCCTGGTTACACCAGCCCACAGGGGAGTATTGTGTCCATCCGTCCTTCGTGCAGGGAAGGGCTGGGTGGGGAGGGAGGGGCTGGGTGGGGAGGAGCTGGGTGGGGAGGGTGGGGAATGGCTGGTGGGTGGGAGGGGTGGGGCTGGGTGGGGAGGGGCTGGTCACCCCGTGGTGCCCTTATAAAACTCAACGTTTAACCTACTCACGCCGGCTTGTGCCCACCCTCACAAGTCGGGCATATCTGTGGAATACACCACGCCGCCGTTGACCCTGGCCATTGACCGAGCAACCCAACGTTCCTACCAGCTCCCTCCGCAGGAGGAATGTGTTCTGCACTTTTCCAACGTCTGCTACTGTTGCTTTCGTGTCTTTCATTGGCTTTGCTGCAGTGACATTGGTTTCTGCACCTTTCTAGTCCCGCCCACTTTCCCCCCCCCCCGTCCAATAGCATTCCACGCAACGCTACCCTCCCCCTTCTCCCCCCTCCCTTGCTCCTCCCCCCTCTCTAACTTATATAACCCCTTACCACAGCATCTTCTCTCCCACTTCAGCTGACATTGTCTTGCTGTAGTTTTCACACCTGATGATGATTGCTCGTGTTGCAATCGAAACGTCGTGATAATTTTTTTATTATGTAGAATTTTTATTATTTCATTATTTCCCTTCTACGTGACTTTACCGAAAGAACCAAGGATACCGCGAGGAGATCAACAGCCTGCCGAGTAGCGCGTCCGACCCCATAGCCCAGGCAGAGGTCGGCAAGCGAAAAATAACAAGATAGCGATTTATTTCGAATTTGGTAAAACAAAAACTGAGTATGTCAAGAGCCACAACAATGAATGGAGTGGATGGACGGGCGTGTACGCGTGGTGACGTGGCGTGTGAGTGAACGATTGAGTGCGCTTGGGTTGTTACTTTTAACGATATCACTTTTTTTATTTTGCCAGGTGAAGCGGAACTGAGCTATGGTAGCTCTCCTTCTTCAGAAGCGATCTGGCGGTCCTTTAATAAATAAAGTCACGAAGCAGCCGCACTTTTAAAGAGCCCGATGCGCAGGGTTGACGACGACCCCCTGGCATAGCCGCATATGAGTGAGTTCAAGCCGCACATAGCGAATTTTGGGTAGGTAGACATAGGTTAGGTCCATGAAGAATCGACCTGGCCACAAATGATAGCTCAACGAAGTCGCTTATACTCTTTGGTTCTTTCGGTAAAGTCACGTCGGTATAAAATAAAATGAATTAAATTAAATAAAAAGTGATTTATTTTATACCCACGTGACTTTACCGAAATAACCAAAGAGTATGGATCCCTGCAGTCACGAAAACTTAAAATCTAGATTGAAGTGGCTTGTCGCGTTTAGATGTTATAGTCGCCAAACGCTCTAAACGCGTGTTTAGAAATGTGGAGGGAAAACCCAGGGGACCCGGAGAAAAATCCTCCCGACTAGGGAGAGAGAGAGCGATATAGGGGCCGTCCATAAATGACATCACGCACCTAGGGGGGAGGGGGGGGTCAGACATTTGTGACGATGTGTGACGAAGGGGGGGGGGGGGTGAGAAATGTGACGTCACATCAAAATGCGCAATTTTAAATAAATATAGACAACACGTTCAACTTAATTAAATTTACTCTTTAATAAATGTTTTCTCCTACAACATCAGAGTGCAGCGCCACATTAAATACGCACTACAATTACAATAGTTGAAAAAGATTTGAAGCATGTTTTATTTTTTTCGGGGGAGGAGGGGGGGGGGCAGAGTTTTGTGACGTCATATTTGAGGGGGGTCTGACTTTTTGTGACGCCGTGTGACGAAGGGGGGGGGGGGGGGGGTCAAAAATCGTCCAAAATCGCGTGACGTCATTTATGGACGGCCCCATACACGCAAACTCCAAATATACAAGCAGACATCGTCAGGGTCGGGATCGAACCCAAGACCTCCTGCATACCAGGCGAGGTAGTTAACATCTCCTAGCCACCGTGATGATGATGATGGAACCCACGACCTCCTGCATACCAGGCGAGGTAGTTAACATCTCCTAGCCACCGTGATGATGATGATGGAACCCACGACCTCCTGCATACCAGGCGAGGTAGTTAACATCTCCCGGAACGGGAACGGATCGCGTGTCCGAGAGCTTGGTCCACCGAGGGAGACGGAGCGAGGGGACGGGGTGGATCGCAGCGCCTGCAGGATCGTGAGATGTGACGGATCGAGAGAGGCCTTCATCCAGCAGTGGATGAACCATGACTGATGTGAGAGGCGCATGCCCTGCAACGGCACACCCACGCCCTTGCGATGCGGGAAAGGCCTCTCCAGGTCTTAGTGGCCGTCTATAAATGACGTCACGTGATTTTTGGACAATTTTTGACCCCCCTCCCCCTATCGTCATAGGCGTCAGAAAAAGTCAGACCTCCCCTCAAATATGACGTCACAAAGCTCTGCCTCCCCCCCAAAAAAAAAACATGCTTCAAATCGCTTTAAGCTATTGTCGTTGTAGTGCGTATTTAATGTGGCGCTGCACTCTGATGTTGTAGGAGAAAACATTTATTAAAAAGTCTATTTAATTAAGTAGAACGTGTTGTCTATATTTATTTAAAGTTGCGCATTTTTACGTGACGTCACATTTCTCACCCCCCCCCCCCTCGTCACATCGTCACAAATGTCTGACCCCCCCCCCTAGGTGCGTGACGTCATGTATGGACGGCCCTTTACGAGGAGCACCTCTCGAAGTCTACGCAGGCGGTCGACTCATGCACGCCGGCCAGACGTCTTTGAAGAGGCGGGCGTTCCCACGCTTTACCCCACCGCGCTTTACCCCACCGCGCTTTACCCCACCGCGCTTTACCCCACCACGCAAACCTCCTTCATCAACCGGCACCACGTGGGGAAAATGTTGTCCAGAATTTGATTGACAAAGGGTCGGTGTATTATTGTTGTTGTTGTTCCTATTGATTCATCTTGATTTGAAGCTTTCGTGACTGCAGGAATCCATACTCTTTGGTTCTTTCGGTAAAGTCACGGAGGTATGAAACAAAATAAATCACGACGTTTCGGGCGCAACACAAGCGTCCATCATCAGGTGGGAAAGCAAACAGCAGCTCGTGCGTGTGGGTTCAAGTTCATGTATTAGGTGTAGCCCTGTGAGCCAACAGCTCTTGAA